ATAATAATGTTTTTTGTTTTGTTGTTTGCATTTGCTGGTTAACAAGTGATGCGTCACCCTTAACAGCAAGACTCCAGATCCTCTTCTGTGACTGAAACACAAACAGAAAGCGGATCAGTTCTTAAAATAAAAGGAGTACTTGTGTCTTTGGGGAGTGAATGGCCCCTGTGGCTCACTTGACCTTGTCCTGTCCTTCCAGTCCTTCTTGCGCTCCTGCAGGTAGTCCTCCATCTGCACCACCCAGTCCGGCCTAGGTCCAGGGAACAGGCGGGCAGCGTCCAGCTCCAGCAGCGGGAGAAGAGGGGCAGGGGCAGGAGAAGAGGAGGAAAGCCTCGGAACCTTCGCAGGGCGAGCGGGCTCGGCACAAGCGGGGCGCTTCCGCGACAGAGGAGCACAGTGAGGACGCCTGAAAGCAGAAAGCACAGCGTCAGGGCGAGGGATTATCTGAAGGCCCCTGACGGCAGCAGCGGGCACAGGGCGGTGGGCAGCAGCGGCAGGCGCAGGGCGGCGGGCAGCAGCAGCAGCGGCAGGCACAGGGTGGCGGTGGGCAGCAGCGGCAGGCACAGGGCGGCGGGCAGCAGCAGCGGCGGGCGCAGGGTGGTGGGCAGCAGCAGCGGCGGCGGGCGCAGGGCGGCGGGCAGGGCGGCGGGCAGCGGCGGGCGCAGGGCGGCGGGCAGCGGCGGGTGCAGGGCGGCGGGCAGCAGCGGCGGTGGGCGTAGGACGCACGGCAGCAGCGGGAGCAGCAGGCACAGACCTAGGGGGTAACACAGGGTCACTAAAAACAAAGGAAGAAGGCAGGACAGAAAAGCTGAGCTGAGGAGTAGGAGGAGGCATTGTGGAGGTAGGGGTTTGTAATGTTTGTGTGTCTGTGTCTGTGTGTGTGTCTGTGTGTGTGAGGACTCAGAGCGAGAGCCGGGGTCCTGTGCAGGACGTCTGGACGCCTGATGGATCACCGGGCCAAGGACCACACGGATCTGTGGAGAGGAACAGAATGTGTCAAACACCAGTGCTACCAGAGCTCACATCTTAAAACCAGAGTTGAGAACATAAAGAGTTCAATTAACACTCGACATGGGGCCATATTCAAATTTGGTGTTGCAATTATTATGGCGAAAATAACTGTGATTAATGATTACATCATGATAATTATTCAAGCTGCTGACAGTTAAAACTACTTATATTTACATATTTAAACAACTGTACTTCGTTACAAATAAAAAATATTAAAAGTATTAGTAATAAAGTATTAAAAGTAGTAGACTATATTATGATTAAACTTAGGTAAATATGACTTTAAGCTCTTTTTTGTTTGTTGTATAGACAACTTCTAAGACCCCAACTGATTGGAGATCACTTAAACCAATCTATGAACATACCCATTCATTTGGGGACTATATATTAAGAAATGGTGCATCTTTAATTTAGCTCAACATATGCTTTCATTTGACATGTGAAACTTGTCATGTAA